CTAGTAATATATTTACTGAGAAAAATGGTGACGTGTTCAATACTTATTTTACCCGCTGGACATACAGTACAGACCAAAAGTTTGGACACAGTGAGCTATGTCAGTTTTCGGACTTTGACCTCTGAGATCAAAATCAGAAATCGGACATAGCCCACTTTTCAGAATTCTGATGTTAATCTCAAAAGTTTAATGTTTTTTTCCTCAGAATTCTGGTTTCTTAGAAAAAAGGTCAGAACGGAGATTTTTTTTGAAATATGTGGCCTTAATATAATCATCAAATTAACTTTTTTTTTGTATCTGATTGTTTTGTTTTGTTACCTCAGACCAGGATATAGATGGACTGTAGCCCCATGGTGTGTCACTACTAGGTGGTGATCTATATTAACAATAATAAAAAATAATAATAATCTAATTCACTGCCCATCACTATACACTTTAATTGCAACGTTTGAGCTGGTTGGCACTGATCACCCCTCATATAAACAAGTATGGCAGAAGAGGCACGTTGAGGCTCATCAGACCAAACCTAAACCACTGTGATGGACAAACTGTAAACCAGCTGTGGAGACTCACAGGTCAGTATATATATATATATATATATATATATATATATATACTGTATACACAGTGATACTTCTCAGTGCAGCATATTAGATATGAAAAAATTCAGATTTAACCCAACTTTCATTCTTCGTCACACAAAAACAAAAAGATAACTAAAAAATCCATGACAGAAGGGTCCGCAGACTTTAATTTTTCTAAATTGTACTTTATTTTCTTTTAAAGACATATGTTTTAAAACAGCAATTGTAGAGAATAAATAAAGAAAAAAGTTTTTTTTTTACTTCCATAAGTACATTTATGCAATTAAAAACTCTATAATAAGTGTTCATTGTTGTAAAGAGCACAGAAATTTTCTTTTTTTTTTGTTTGTTTGTTTCTTTCTTTCTTTCCTTTCTTTAAATTAAAAAAAATGTTCACATCACCCTCGGAAACAAACGGATTACCAAATAAACCAAACATAAAAAAAAAATCAAGATAGAAAAAATTCCCAGCCCTTCCTTCCGTTTTTTTTGTTTTATTTTATTTTTGTTAATTTTCAAAAGTAGTGGCAGCAGAGAATGTTAGTCTGTGAAACGTTTAAGTCCCCCTTTTTTAAAAACTGAGGTATGTACAACAAGAGGAAATCCATTTTTCTTCCATTTTAATCACTCCGTGGTTTTTAATTTACTTATAATTAATAAAACTAACTCTACATAACAATATCATCAATGGTAATCATACAGAATATTATTTTCTTTCGCCTCCGGCTGTGTAGACTGGCTTTTCGTTGGCGCCTCAGACCACAAATCACACTATACAGTAGAACCCTGTTCAGTAGAGTAACATCATTGATATGATTTTTCTTCACATGTATATTTTGTTGCTGACGACAGAGTTATGTACATAATATAAATGAATCCAGCTGTGGAATGACAGGAACTCCGGACCACTTCGGACACTGTGGATGCTGATGCAGTCCATGGGTTTTGCTGCTGGCGTCGCTGCAGTTGATGTTGACTTTGTTGAAGCGCAAACATGGTAAACTGCTTTTATTTCTTTTCTTTTTACTTTCTTTTATGTGTGTGAAGTGTTGCTCCTGTGCTATACGGTTGGTCAAACAACCAAAAAAAGGCTGGGACGTCCCAAGTGGTATTCTTGATTGAACTCTTAGGTTTTTTTCCTGCAAGTGAAGAGGAGAGGAAAAAGCTTTAAAAAAATAAAAGAAATATTGTTTTCTGCAGACAAAGGTTGCACTGACGGCTCAGTAGGAGTCCATGCAGTGACAGTCATAGCGCTGCAAGTGTTCTTAAAAAATAATCTATTATATTCTTTTTAATTTCTTTTAATAGCAGGCATTTGATTTCAGAACATGCACAGTAGAAATTCTGGGTATATTTGCTCTTCAAATGTTATAAATCAAGTCAACATGATCTTAAATATGTTCTGATAATCCCCCCAAATAATTCATTATTTAAATACAGTTTTAGAAATCAGCTTCTCCAAATATCTTTTACCACAGAGCATCTGAAGGAAGCAAAATGTATCTATTCAGCTCTTTCAGCAATATGGCTTTTGGTAATTCAGCAAATTATATATATTTTTTGAGATATTTAACTTTATTTCTGCCTTTTTTTTCTCTTTGACGATGAATGGAGCCGTCACCAACATGTTTAAAATCTTAAAATGTTCAGAAGTCTTTATTAAACTTTTTGTTTTTGTTCTGGTTCTGCTTTCTTCACCATGTTAATGATTTTAGCTTTTTTAAGCTATCATTCTGACCTTTGCTGAAGTTGGACTTCTTTCTGTTAATTAAAGCGTTTTATGCTTCTTTCAGCTACTTTCTGCTAATTTCAGCTAATGTTTTTTTTCTGCTAAATTCACCTTTTGGTAATAATTTCAGCTTCTTGCTCTTTAATGCAGCAAATGTGCATTTTCTGTTTCTTTGTGCTAATTCCAGCCATTTTCAGGTACTTTTAAAAGCTATTTTAGGCTCTTTTTTTAGCTATTTCAAGGCAAATTGCAAGTTATTTGTACTTATTTTCTAGATGTTTGCTCATCTGAAAAATGTTACTCATTTCCTCATCTGGATTATCT